CCCCAAAAAAAAAATCTGCAGAAGGAATTGTGACTTTTGTTTTAGTAGTACGTGTGTTGCTGCATTGTTTTGATCATGCTGACAACGACAATTATTTGATTCATGACACGGTGTTTTCAGGTTCTCGTCAGTTTTTGGGGCCCATGGATTTACTAGAATCATCTGAAAGCTGTTTCAGTTTTCTTGTTTTTGATGAGAAAATGGCCATTAATCTTGAATAAAAGTTGAGATATTTGCCATTAAATGAGGCGGGGATTATGTGATGCTCGAGAAGATATTGGCGAAAAAATAGATGCCAACGTTTGCTGATTTCCAAAGCTTCATTGGCTTTGGAAAATGTAATTTCTCATTTTTTGTGCCTCTGATCAACGTTACTTCTAAAGACAAACCCACACTGAAATGTGTTTCCAAATGGGCATGAGAGGCATTGAGCCAAATGAAGATGTCAATGAAAGTTCTCCAACTGTCAGGGAAAATGTCGGTATCTTTGATTTCTTCATTTTGACAAGAGTCTGATTTATAATGACGGTGTCACACATTTGTTTACTTTTTCTTTAGCAATATAAAACCACTGTAATCTAAACGAAAAATAAATAAAAAATAGTTAATGTAAAAAGAGGTAGAAGTGGAAAATAATATTAAATGATTTTATTCCTACTTTGGAGAAAACGAAATTATGACTCTATAACCTGCAGATGGCATAATAATCTCATAATATTCTCATAAAAATCTTATAGTAATCTCATAATAATCTAATAATAATTTCATAATAATCTCATAATTATCTCATTATAATCTCCTAATAATCTCATAATTATCTCATAATTATCTCATAATAATCTCATAATAGTCTAAAAATAATCTCATAATAATCTCAAAATAATCTCATAATAATCTCAAGATAACAACTAAAAGCTAAAACATTTGAATACACAAGCAAAAAGCTAAAATGAAGAATTTGCAAAACTATGATGAATTTGGAATTTTGAGAGGCAACGAATGTAACGTTGTGCATACGGCTCTTTCGTGATTTCATGCTCGTCGTTTAAGAATTATATCATGGCCTACGTCTATGCTTGATTTAGACTGTGACGATGTTTCCAAATGATGGAAGGGAAGCAGTGCGTTTTGTTAATTGACCCTATCTGTACGTCGTGTTATACTATCGTATCCATACGACGTGGGGAACTCTGTGCCACCACTTTCCAAAGAGGAAATTTACGAGTTAATCAGATCCGTACGCTTTGCATTTCAGTCTGTCAAAATGATTTTTTAAGAAATACTGAACGTTTCTAAGAGATCTTCGTACCAGAAGTATTCTAAAATGTGAAGAATACAACCCCGGGGGCAATAAATGATCCCAGGGCGTACGGATAGGGTTAAGTAGACGCCTCGGCCATGATAGAGAGTCAGGAACCCCTCGGGGCTGTGCCACTGACTGTAGTGTCTTTAGGCCATTCCCAAAGAAAGGACATTTCTCGTTCAAGCTCTGTAGAATTGTAAATGGGTTGATTCATGTCACGCTCATAACTGTGCCTGATCTACAACAGGGAACTGCTGCTTTTTATTTCCTGGTCCTTACTATTGTCATTTTCCTCTACTTCTTTTGTATGTTTGTCACTCTCTTGAGACCTGCTATTTCTGGGTGCCTTGATAGTCGAAGATGACCTTGTGCTGTTGAAGCTAGAGATGTGAGCAGAATAAGTCTGATTCCCTGAAAATACTTTTCTGTTTACACCCACCCCTTGGCGCTCATATGACCTTATGCAGTTGCGAGCGCCGTAAAACCCTCTACTATAAAAAAAGAGAGTCAGGTAGGTGAGACTGCAGGTATTTCCCTTAGCCCATAGGTCACCTGTCACAGGTACGTGATCTATGGAAGTCTGACGTCAGTGTGTGTCGTGTCGGGCAAAAGGAACAGATGTCCATCTTCTCCTTCAAAAAGAGGTCATCATGTTTTTCGTTTCTCTTTCGTCTGCGATCCACTGTGACACACACACACACACACACACACACACACACACACACACACACACACACA